GAGAAGTTTTCGAACTTGACAATAGGTGATGACATGATTCCTCTCAAAAACACTTGAAGCATATGATCAAAGGCAAAATCTCTTGAAATTGATTGTGATAAATCAAGTGACACATGAAGAACTCAATATTACGGGTGAATTGGCTGATTTAAGAAGCAGCATTTCTCTTTGAAAGATTGAATTCAATTTTAAATTTGCTCATTTCCTACCTAATGTAATGTGAATTAGCATCAGGTTGGGTAAATGAACAACAATACTTTCCTTTAAATCGTGTAAGCTATTTCTTTTAGTTTCACTAAAAAGTTTGAACTTGATGATTTTCTCGCCAGGCTTCGACTTTTCAGGCTCCAAACTAATATGAAAAGTGAGTACGATTTCCTCCAAGGATTGAAAATCCTTCGCCAATTGAACTAAGGATTCCATGCTTGGTGACTTTGAGGTCAACAAATCAACTTTATCCTCATGGCCAACTTCCTTATCCCTTTTCCCTTGAGCTAATGTTGGCTTTAGTGTACTCACAACTTGCCATAACTGGGTAATTGGAGAAGCTTGTGGCTTGCTTGGCCTTGAAAATTTTCTAGGCAGCTAAATTTTTTATTTATTATTTTCCTCTTAGGATGAATTCAACACAGAAGAATCATGACTATGATCTTTTCTTAGAGGAGTAATTCAAAGAATATCACATACAATGGGTAACTTCACAGCGTCTTTTTCTTTCTTGAGTGCCTCCACTTTCACAATGGTCTCGCTTTCTTACCTTCATGAAAGAAGGGGATGAATAATATTTATGGAAATTCTTGTTAGTCTCTTGCTTTTTATATTTTCTCAATAGAATTATAGCAAATTCTTTGTTAGAGAATGTCATAGCTTGATTGAAATATTCAAAATATGAGAACAACTCATGCAATGTCTCTTGAAATAAGGTTATACATAATTTATACGTTTCTTTCGATGCTAATGTGTATGGTTATTGTGTTACATCAAAGTAAGCAATCATAATTATAGAGTTAACTCATCTTGAATGAATACTTTATTCTCTTCTTGACTTAGGACATCCCCAAAGAAACAAGAGAAGTAATGAACTAAACGTACACTAAAATATCATCAGGGAGGGTTTAAGTTAAGTTGACCAAACTCGGTAAATATCAAACTAAGCTAACTTTTTTCAGCGAATTGGGTTCAAGGCTAGTCTCCTATTTATAAAAATCTACTAGTTGAAGTTGCTAGGAACTTGGTGCCTCATTTAGTTCTCCCCCAAAATTTCATTCAATTATCATAGTTGCTTGGCAAAACTTGCCTAATATACCTAACCTCAGGGGTGACTACAAGTTGCCCAAAGCCATTTAGCACACCCAAGAAAGCATCTATACTCATGTTGAGCTCTTATATATTCCATAATTCAAATCAAGTTGATATGATGAAAATGGGAACATGAATTGCGACATTGTGTAAATTGGTCTTGAAGTACCTAGGCCATTGTAAAAATTACCTAAATGAAATGTTTTTTTTCTCAAAATGGGTTTTGCCTATGTCTTATAAGAAACAAAATTATTAAGAAAGGGCCTCGTTGGTTCATTTGCAAAATGGATTTTGCCAATATAGAATACAATGATGCAAATCGAAATTGCGAAGCTTCAATCACCATCAAAGCTGCCCCTGCCCAAACAAAGCTTGTTTGCAAAATCAATCATGTCAATATGTCCAGAGCATTTAAATTACTTAATAAGAGGCTTTTTATGATCGAAAAAAGCAAACTTGACCAAAATAATCGGAATTGAATGTGACACACGTGAATCAAGTTTGGATTGGCATAATCGTAACCATCATCACTCCAATGATGCATTATCAGAAAACATATTGTGCCAATCCATTCATATATTGATGAGGCCCAAGAAGAATGCCCATATGATCCATCCTTACACGAATGAAAAATGCAAAAGCATGTGGCATGTCATAATACAAATTTTGAGGCATGCTAAATGCCAACATTTACAAAATGTGATTTAAAAAGATAGGGGAAGTCAAAATTGCTTTTATTTATTACACACACATAATTATATATATATAACATTTCTCTAAAAGGAAAAAAAAAATGAAATAAAATCCTTGCAACTACCCGTATGTGCTCCTGCGTGCTTCCATCTGGTACCCATTCTCTCGTCTTTATCTTTTGAAATTGAAAAAGAAGTTGAAAGGAAAGTCAAATAAACCAAAAATTACTCTTTGTCATGATGGTTTTTCTCATTTTCTCTCCTCTCCATCCTAACTACATCTCTAGAACCCACAGCCTCCCTCTTTTGGTCATCCAAACTTAGGCATGCAGCGCCTCTATTCTCCTACTATATCTCTCTTCTTTGTTTCCTTCTATTTCACATACAACAACACACAAGTTGCAGGCACCATCTCCTCTCCTTCAACCCTGACTTGTTGCTTGTCATTCACTCACACATAGGAACTTGCAATACTCTACAACAGCTCCTTCGCTCAATAACTAGTTCTGCACTACCTTCAATTAACTCTATCAGACCCCAACTAACAACCCTTTAGGGTCAACCTAGATGCGAGAAAGGTGGACAATTTTTTCAGGCAAAATTTTTACCACTAGTTGTCTTGACTTGCGTAATCAGGATTCAGTGGGTTATGAACTAGTCTAACTAAATTACTACAAACGTATATAAAACAATTCATCTTATAATTCATTTACATTCATATACTTGGAGCTTGAAAATTATATCACCAAAACATATATATTTCTACAGAGATGCTAAATCCAATATAATAGAAGTATCCAAAACTCTGTAGAACCTCTCAAAATTAAATATTGCAAAAGCTGTACACTTCACAAATGTCCACTTGCCCTAAAACTCCTTACATCTTCCTGAAAGTCAAAATATTGAATGAGATACAACAAGCTCGGCGAAATAATTAAAGCTTTATAGACAAAAAAGAAGCAATGTGAGTGAAAATCATGGCTCATATGCGTAACAGAAAAACACATCAGAACTTGTTTTGATTATGTAAATCATTTAAATAAAAAGAGATGCACTACAACAAATCATGCCAGTTATGTAAAACATGTATTTCATTCATGCACGTGTAATCCTAGAGATATTCAACAAGATTTCATAGTCAATAATTTTGATCATATAAATGTCACTTATAATTTTATAATCTTTAATTATTTCCTTATTGTTTCATGTCATTGAGTTGTTTCCCTGCCCGAAACTTTATTAACTATTAATAAAAGTTGGGTCTCTCCCAATATAATAGTTATTAATAGTCTTCTTTGATATCAACGATTCTCTACTTTCCATTCCCATTTGATACCAGTGGTTTGTGGATTTCTTCTGTCTAAGTATCAAAAGTCGGAAATCCTATCGTTCGCTATCATCCATAATTGCAAGCATTTATGTAATAACTTACCTAATAAAACACTTGTAACATTCCTATAATCAGAGTTATTTTACTAGCAATCATAAAAAAATCATCATCATACGCATAATTAACATGATATGAATATTTGCAAGCGAAAAACTCATAAATAGGCTTATTGTGTCAAAAAATAAGACAATCATGGTTATCATCAGTTTCAATTTAAATTGACATTTATGTATATTTGCAGGCATTCAACAATATGAGAAAATTCTAAATGTATTCACACGTCACAAGAAATCATAGAAAAATTCTAGAGAAAGATATTTGCCTTAATTTAACATATGATTATTTTACCTGAAATAATATGGGAGCCCTACAATGTGTGTCCTTAAATCCGTCTTGAGCTCGCCGAATCGTATAAACCAATTGAAATTTAAAATCCCTAAAAAAATTCATGAAAATTGTAACTTATATCTTAATTTAATCCTAAATTTGTAGCTTGTTCCTGATATTATCATCTTCATTAATATTTATATCCAACCTCTTTCCTGATTGAAATTGCTCTAGGAGTTTTGAATATTCACTGTTAATTGTTTGAGCTGTCTTGATTAATATATCAGAGTTGATTGCACCATTAATTGATGTAAATACATACGATCTCCCGATCTTCTGATTTCCAACTATATGACATCTATATCTTTAATCAATTCCAGCTCTTGAGTAATATTCAACTTGCACTATATGTGGATTTATGGCTTAAACTATCAGCAATTTTATTTGCTCTTTTAGGACAAGTATTGTATATCCATCTTTGATATACTTTAGCCATTTCCTCTGTATTTAACTCTCTTTGTGTGAAAATATATTTCAAACACTGATGATTAGCGAATATCTCACATTTCATGCTATATAAATAAATTTTTTAAATTTTAAGAGCAAAGACTACATCAACTAATTTCAGATCATCTGTAGGATAATTTCTCATGCAGTTTTAATTTTCTGGATGCATAAAGTATTACCTTTTTTTTTTTTGCACTAGAACACAACCCAAACCTCTTAATGATGTCTCACTATAATGTATTCTTCACCAAAAATTTTATTTGGTACCTCATTTAAACTCTTTTGTCTAGGGTGTGAATTTTTGGGCCCACAACTCAACCAGCCCTAGTGATGTCGTTCAACAACTTCACAAGAATCCAATCCTTAATTGTAAATCACCATGTGCATTCAATATAATTAGTAGTCATAATTAGCAAATATACATTTTAGAACAAGACTTCTTTGGGCCATGTAGTTTACTCATTTCTTAAAATGTATTCTTTCATTATGGTGGCGAGTCTTGACTCGATCTAGAAATGGAGGGTAAGAAGACAAGCCCATGACACATTTGAATCGCTTCTTCAGCCTTGTATTTTCTTTCTCACAATATAGTGAAATCTCCGAGCTTCAATCACTATTTACTTCCTGTTTTCTAGCCATATTTGTTGGTAAAATTTATGTTTTGTCAATGGATTAATTTTAATCAAACATATTGCGTGTAATGTTTATCTTAGGGTTAACTTATCCATGACTTACATTAAAAATGCCTCATATAAATATATCTATATTTCATTTGAGGTTGGCAGAATCAGGTAAGCTCATCACATGGGGATCTACGGATGATATGGGCCAGAGCTACCTTACTTCAGGAAAGCACGAGGTACTAATTCTTAGGACCTAATGATAACGCTTGCTGCTGCACTAGTTTTAATTCTGTACCCTTTGAATTCTATCGGCAACTTATGGAAATTTAATACAGGAAATTCCAGAAGCATTTCCTCTTCCTGGTGAAGTAAAGATAGTGAAAGCAGCTGCAGGATGGGCTCACTGTGTTGCAATTACAGGTTTTTATTTTTATTTTTTGTAGTTGCTATAAATATAAGAATTCAACCTTGAAATATAGTTCTCAGATTTTGCCTATTATTAGAGTCGACTAATGTAAAGTGGAGTTCTAGGATTTTGGTTTAGATTTTCAATAAATGCGATTGAACATAATTTTGAAAAGATTTGTCTTATTATTCGTCTCTTGCAAAAGCATGTGGGGAAGTGTACACATGGGGCTGGAAAAGAGTGTGTTCCAGCTGGGAAGGTGATTGGAGAACAACCTGCTATTGGGACTTTAGCGAAGGATGACAGACAAAGTCCTTTTATGAATGAGCAAGGTGGTGTTATCGATTATCTTGTTCTAATTTATAAAACAAAGTAGGATATACTTTGTTTGAAAAAATTCATGAAAATTGTATTATGTATAAATTCAAATGCAGTGAGCCCAACATCACATGCCTCTCGGGCAAATAGCGGAACAATAGCTAATTATGAAGGTAAGGGCAGCGAGGAAAGCTTAAAGCGCAGAAGGTTATCTTCAGCTAAACAAGGTCCTGAGAGCTCATCACCAAGCGATGAAACTCTTTCATCACTTCCCTGCCTTGTAACACTTGCTGTAGGGGTGAAGATTACAGCAGTAGCTGCCGGTGGTCGTCATACTCTCGCATTGTCAGGTGCTCCTACTTTTTTTATTGATTGTTTATGTCATCCCCCTTTAATGTATTTCATGTTGTTTGAAAACTTAGGAGTTGACTCATATAGTTAGCAAAACTTTGGTAATGGGTTTGTATTTCCAAGGTTTCAGATGTTGGTCAAGTGTGGGGTTGGGGATATGGAGGTGAAGGCCAACTGGGTTTGGGTTCTCGAACACGCATGGTTTCTTCCCCTCATCTTGTACCATGCATTGAGCCAGCTGCTTATGTTAAAGATAGAGCTTCAGCTTCCTGTAAAGGAAATACGAGTTCAGACGGTCATTCTTGCCGGGTTATTGGAAGCTCTGTTAAGGCCATTGCATGTGGAGGTCGTCATAGTGCAGTAGTAACAGGTAAACAGATTGTGTATTTAGGGATGTGCTGATTTAATACACTTACAATTGCTCTAGCTGCTGTGTAAATTTTGCAATTTATTTGTTCAGTTACCTTGGTATGGCTGCATAGAAATAAATCTGAAGTTAAAAATACTACAGAAATGTTCTGGATGGATTTTCTTAACGCTGCACTCATGGAACTTGACGGACTTTCATGAAAACAAGTTTAACATTCTGTGAGCATGGATTAGATAGAGGTGAAACTTGGTTCAAACATATGAGGTGTTCTGTTAAGGTGGTCGTATGGAAAAAAAAAAATGAAAACACTGATATGTTAAATGCAATTGTATTCAATTCGTTGAAATAAATATAACTTAGATCAATATTCTAGATGGCTGTTGTCTTTTGTGTGGTGAGGCTGTCATTAAAGAACATCGATTTTAGGTCTTCTAAATGAATGTACTAACAGCCAAGGATGAAATATGCTAAAGACGGGAATGTTTGGCCAAAATTATCGTGGACTTGGGGTCAATATAAATTTTTAATTTTTGATTATAGTATTGATGGTAACAGGAATTGGAAAATTGATTGATCATCTTTCATTAAAGCATGCACATAATTCATATAATCCTAGGAAAGCACAGAATAAGAACATTTAAAATCAAGGAGTAGAGTAGAATTAAATTACAAAATGATTACAACAGCCTACAAATTGATAAGTAGGCAAAATAGATCTTACAGATCATTGTGTTGGCAATGGAAGAAAAAGAAAAGTGGGTGAAATTTTTGGTGAGCGTAGCTTCCAAATTATAGAAATTATGCTACTATTTTTTAATCACCCTTACGCGAATGGATGAATGTCATCCATTCTAAGCTTCTTTGAAAATTTCTAAAAGACTATCCCTGATAATCTTTGTGTATGGATTTTTATAAATTGTTTACCTGAATGGAGAATTGATTAGATGATTGTCAATCTTCTTCTTTAAAAGTATCTGTTAACTTCACTATACTTTATACAATCATATTGTATGAGATTTTTGTTGATATATATATATATATATATATATTTGTTTTGAAAAGGCAAAATTTTTTGATAAAAAAAGAGAGGATACAAAGGTTTTTGTGAGTGGGTATAAAGATCTCCCTCACAGGGATTAAAAACTTATTCCCCAAAAAATAAAACAAAAAGAAACAACTCCTAATCATGGTGGGTGTAGTCGGTGGATCTACCGCTTCCCCTTCCCCTGAATCTAGGGAGAGAGTCCAACAACATACTGAGATGTGGACTTCCTCCCAAAGCAATGATACAGTCATCCTGAGAGTTACTGAGACTGACATTTCTTTCTTCTTCTTCCTGGATTTGTAAACCTGCCAATCATCTGCCAGAAAAAGTCTCGTATGAACAGTAGGTGGATCTTTGATGGAGGTAAACTGCTGATCTGGCTCAGCCTGCAACACACTTTGATCTTGACACTCCTCCATAACATGAGTACCCTCTTGTCTCGCAATAGGAGGATCTAAGACACTTCGGCTAGCATCTGCTACAACGCAATTCGTAGAATTTTTAATCTGAGGAAGAGCTGCTACAACAACAATTTTTGATCATAATGAATCGTTTTGGATGTTTGTGGTGAGTTTAAGTGTGAATTCTTCTCTAAGAGTGTTGGAGAAGGAGAGAAGTTAGAGATTTCTTCTTCCTACATTTCCAAAGAGAGGCTACCAAGGTGGGTGAAGCCTGAAGCATTTGACAGGGGTGTGCCAAACAGTTTACAGTGATTGCAGTAGTATGGTCTTTGTTCAACTATAATTGGTTGTACCCATTGTGGGCGGGCAGTGCCAAACCATATTTCGTCCACATCAGGGAGGGTGATATCTCTTCGAACAAGAATTCTTGCAACCGAAGGCCTGGTTAGATTGAAGGTGGGTGTGTCCAATTTCATAGGTATCCCTAGTGCAGCTCCAATAGAGTAGAGGACTTTATGGTTAAGTAGTTCAACTTTAAGCCATATAGTTTAAACCAAATGGGAACTAGATGGTTCTTGACTAGGGTCAAATACAGGAGATCACTTGAGCAGTTTCATATACTTTCCCTCTATCGTCATAAACTTTTTGGAAAATATTTTGGCATAGTCTTTCACTTTAGATAATTGGATCATCACATGTCTTCCACATGTCTTCCATCAAAGAGGACCTTCTAGAGTCCCAATAGTTTGAGATCTTCAAAAGCCTTTCGAACGATTTCCATTTTGGGATGTCCCAATTGGAACTTCCCAATGAGGGTGAATTTGAACTTGTTAAACAGGCTGAAAACTTGAGCATCAGAGAAAAATATAGCCAGTTGACCACTCTTCCTACCCGCCTTTTTGATAAGGTTGCAGTCCTCCTGGTCTTCGAATGATTCGTGGTAAACTTGAGGGAAAACCTGATATGATCCCATAGAGCTAACTATATCAACAAAAGGAGCCTTTCCAAGGTTTGAAACTGAAGTCGGTGGTTGAGAAAAAACAGTAGCCATAGATCTCAGAGTTGAACAGTGGGTCTAACTCCTTCGCTGCTCGATCCGCAGAGCAGGGATCGAACGAAGAGCAGAGGAAGTCGCGACACTATGCAAGGAAGCTCACCCGAGACGTTAGGACAACGAAGGACGAACGTAGCTGCGGCGAGAAAGACGCGAACAACCTCGTAACAGCGAGGCTGCGACAAATAACGACTCGAGGAAGAAGACAATGAGCGAGCACGAAGAAATAAGCGGAAGACGAAACACTCGAAATAGGAGAAGTCGGATGCGCGAACTGTTCGTCATCGAGCAATACATAGCCAAAGGAGTTAGCACAGGGTTTTGCCATCTGTCGAAGCAGAGCCCGACGCCGACGCCGACGCCTCCTAAACCATAACAGTAGTCTCTCACTATAGACTGTAATCCTTTTGTTCATGTCTTCATGCCTGCTCGGTTATTTGGGACTATGGGGAGGCTAACCTCACCTCCTAAACCATTCTCCGGAATGAAAATTCTTTTGAATACACTTAAAGGTGTGTTGTTCCTGGATAATCAAGATGCAGACTGCTAGCACCTGGACAGAAAGACCCTATGAAGCTTTATTGTTTAATGGGATTGGCTTTGGACCTTTTTTGCACAGCTTAGGTGGAGGGAGAAGAAGGCTTTCTTGTGCCCAATAACATGAGTTTCCATCCAGTGGTCAATAGTAGATAGTCGGATCAAAACAGTAGACCGGTTGACTCAAGCCAATCAGGCAAAGTCCGGACGATAGAATGACCGCCAGAACTGATCGGGCTTTCTTGTGCCCAATAACATGAGTTTCCATCCAGTGGGTCAATAGTAGATAGTCGGATCAAAACAGTCGACCGGTTGACTCAAGCCAATCGGGCAAAGTCCGGACGATAGAATGACCGCCAGAACAGATCCCAATTCATTTTTTTGGGAATGTATAACACAAGTGGACATATGCATTATCCTTTTTTTTCGGAAGTGTAAGAAATGATCATGGTTAAAGTTGTTTACGACATTATTAGACGACAATAGTAATTTTTACACTAAATTTATTTTTTATCATGTTGAAAAGATGGGAAGGATGGGAAAAAAAGATAATTGTATTTTTCACTCATTGAAAAATTGGTGTGTTTGTGTTTTAATAGCTTACCAACATCACAATAAAATTCTTTGAATTGATGTCATTAAATAATAAAGGAAACATGATTTTGAAAAAAAATATAAATGATGGGTGGCCAAGGTGTAAGTGTTGAACTCGTAATATTTTTTATTGGATTTAAGATTTTTTGGAAGAAGAGATAATATTTAAAATTATTTGAATTTTTTTTAATCATTAGATTCTTGAATGTAGCAGAAAGGCATAATGTGAAGGATAAAATACCAAAATATATTTGGAATCGTTGGTTAGCTTTTGTTTGGTACAAAAAAAAAATTTTTTTTTTTTGGTACATGGAGGTCATTTCAGAGTTTGGAGGATTTGTTTATGAGAGACTATCTACTTGAAAAATCACAATTATCTTGAATCCATCGACCATATTTATTTTTTTTTTATTGCTAGGGCATATCCATATGAAGAAAATTTGTATGAGAAGTTATTTATATGGTCTATAACTTTTGAATCAATGATCTCTGAGTTACAAATAGGCATCTCAAAGGCTTTAAAGGCATGCGACGATGAGTGAAAGCTTTTAATGCTAAATTGCCATCTATATCTATCTTTAATAAGCTCTTGGCTTGATTTTTTTTGTTTATTTGTACGTTATAAATTTCCTAATTTTTTTGATTGTTGAAGAACTTGCACATCAATTATGATCATTTTAGATTTATTATTCCATCTAATTCACATTTTGAATGGATTTTTTTCAACTGTCCCATTGGATTAAATTGCATCCCTTAAGTTCGAAATGATTGAAGACAAAGGTCCATGGATAGCAAACTTACGGTTCTGTTCATAGGAAACTATAGAAGAGGAAAAAAAAAACAATAAGACAACGATGAGTGTTGTATCACTAGGAATAATTAGTAGCAATGCAACAATGGAGGCGGTACTTAAAAACAAAAAGGAAGATAGTTCATAAATGAAGTCTATATGATTGTGGTAATGCATCAATGAAGGTTGTACAAATGTAAATGTAAGGATGAGAATGATCCTAAATTGGAGGGAAATAATTGATTGTATTTCAATTCAACTTTTCAAGACTTGGGTAAAATGTATAAAAATTGATGTTAATATTTTAGAATTAAATGAAAATATGACACTCAATAGAATAGAATGGAGAAAAAGGATTCATGTAGCTGCCCATTTAGGGGGATAAAGGCTTGTTGTTGTCGTTGTTGTTGTTGTTGTTGTAGTATTTTAATTCAACTTGTATATAATTTATATAATCCTAAAAAATCATCTAATAAAAAAAATGAAATTATGGAATTAATGTCCTTACAAAATAATTAAATCAATTCATTAATTAGTGATTAGGTAGTATGGATCTCATAGATCATTAAGGTGGCATTAGAAGAGGAAGGAAAGGGGGTAAAAATTTTGGTTAATGTAGGTTGCAACCAGTGAAAATTATGTATACGTTTTACAATTTGTAACAAAAGAATCCACCTTTCATAGTAATTTTATAATGTTCTACTCCAATTTTGGTAAAAAAAGTTATCCTCTTAAGCATATATTGCCAAGTAGTGTAAGCACTTGACCGGGATAAGTTTTATTGCTGATGCATAACTTTATAGATCTTGCTCATATATGCTCATTTCAATGTTCGTTCACGCCTAATTCTTACATTGTCTTTGCGCATCTTTGTTAAAAAACTTATATCTTTTGATTCAAGATGCTTGAATGGTTTTTATATTCACGCACACAAGCACACCTTTAGTCTTGCTTCAAGCTTTGCCCTATCTTGATAATATTGTTGACATACCCCTAAACTGGTTTTTCTTTTATCACTTGAATGGTGCTGTGCATCTAGACGACCTTGCATCCCAAGCGCCATTTGCTCCCATGTAAACTGGAATCCATTTTTGAGTGAATCATTAGTTTGTTTTCTAATTTTATTTGTTTACTTTATTCTTGAATTTGCAGATAGTGGTGCGGTACTTACGTTTGGTTGGGGGCTATATGGACAGGTGATCATTTTTTATTATAATATTTAGCACTGTGCATTTGTAGATTTATAGCTTTCATATTTAATAAGTTTTGTTTCACTGTAGCTCAATTTGTGATATGGTGTTGCCTGTTTTTTGTTAAACATGTTATTTCATTCTAGCTGAACATCTACTTTCATTTTTACAATTTGGTTTTTTGATAAAAAATATTGTAATTTTCCGTCTTTAAATTGCTTAAACCAATTACATATTTGTAATACATTTATGTTAAACACCTATAACAACTCAAATCTTTTTGGATATAAGCTCTTTTCCATTCTACGAGAAACTACTTTTTTAGAATATAAGCGGCCTTTCTTAGAATGCGACCTTCGCAAAAAGTTGGATTTGATAGATTTTAATTTTAAAGTTTAATCTCTTGAGGGAAGAATCCTTAGGCCATTGTCACTGGTATGATCTAGCCTTTAATGCCATAGATTTGAATCTACCTTTGCATTTGTGGTTGATCTCATTATTCTATTATTGGTGATGTTGCAAAATGTGCTATTCATATCATCTTGAGCAATCGCCAATGCACATTTGTCGCTTGTAAGTATCATCTTTGAAGGTGGCATTACTTTTTTTTTGCTACTAACTGCTTGTTGAAAATCAAGTTTCTCCTTATGCCAGGGATATACCTGACTTTGTTTAGCTTGAGTGTGTTGCCATTTTGTTGTCTTGATTTTCATTATCTCCAATGCTCATCATATTTGAGGTATCATCAATGAGAAATATTGCCGAGTTACATGTGTAAGTTTTTATCTTTAGATATTTATTAGAGGAATAATGATAATGACATAGGGCTCACCCCTAGCTGAACCAGCTGGGGAGGCTAATGCGGGGCTCGGGGGAGGAGCGGCCGGTCCTCCAGGGAGGGTGGCTTCCGTCCCCTCTTCCCCTACTTCCTTTCCCACCTCCCCTTTTTTCTTCCTTCCCTCCTTTCTCCCCTTTTCCTTTTCTTCCTCCACTTTACTTGCTCACCTTTTCTTCATAGGCATTTTCCTATTTTAAGTCCTTTTCTAAAACCTGAAATTCTAATTTTATTCTCCTTCCTTATTTTAAAATCCTTTTCTAAAATTTGAAATCTCTTCTTATTCTCCTTGTTTATTTTAAAAGCCTTTCTAAAAATATGAAATCCTTTTTATACTCCTTTCTTATTTGAAAGTCGTTCCAAAATTTAAAATCCTCCCTAAAATATGTCAAGCATTTTTATAAATAGGAGGTGATGTGCTTAGTGTTAGGGTTCTTGTTTTTGATATTTGAATTTTGGTTATAACCTTGGTATTTTCTCTTCGAGGGTTGCATCCGACGTCAAGGTAGTGATCTGGCTGTCCCTCTTTCACCATGGGTCCGGGAGGTGCTCTGGTTATAGCTCGACCCCGATTAGATATTTATCTATCCTTCCACTTTCTCGCTGCTATCTACCCGCTTCCCAGCTCTACAGCAGATTACCACACCTCATTCCCAATAACCGCAAGCTGTTGTCTTCCCTCCAACTTTGTTGTCAGCCTTCTCCAGCAAGGCCACAGCTCCCATACTCCATCCCAACACTCAGCCGCCATGCCTGAACAACCCAATCTTGCTATCCACCTGCCTAGAATTCTATCCAGCACTCTTCTGACTCACTTCCAACAACATGCCTTGCTATCCAGGCCTTTCTCAGCGCTGCCAGTGCTTCCCTGCTAGTTGTACACCCTCCGAAAGTGCTTATAAGCCTTCTCCGCTACCGCCTCACCTTCCCAGCTTGCTATCCCATCTTCCAACCAACCTCCCAGTCGCCCAACAAAGCTTCCTGCTACCTTAACCTGTTGCCTCCCTCTTCCAATTCAGCTTCCAAACCTTGCTGACTCCTCTCCCGCATTCATAATTTTTGTTCCAAGCCTCTGGATCCACTGTTCTAACCTCCACCTCTATTGAGATATACTTTCGAGGTGTTGGCACGTGTTTTTGTGTCTGTTTATCGTTTATTTCATGTTTTGAAGTATTGTTGTAACTGATTTCAAAATAAAAAATAATATTTATGCTTCTTTTGTGGTTTGGACTTTTTTCTCCGGTATCATTTAGTATCAAAGCTAGCCAAACCCAAGTCCCATCCTAGGGTTTCTAGCATCCGCCCCTATCCAATTCACTACATCAAATTTTTTTTGTTCTTTCTTTCGTGTATATTTTTCTCTCTTCTTTCATTGTTCCTTCTTTCTTTTCTTCCACAGATCTCAAACCGTCAACTATGCCGCCAAAAAGGATTATGCCCGAGCCTACTAAGTCAGAAATACGACTAAGGGTGTGAATGATCTGATTTCAAGCCAATCGAGGGCTAGCGCAAAATCTAATCAAAATTGGATTGTGGATCGATTCAGTAAATTTTGATCTGATCTAGTATGGATTGATCTATTTTCGAGTCGACTCGAATGCCATTTTTGACTCTTGTGCCAGATCAGTCCGGCTCGAACTCGCTATGGCCCACCCAGCCAACCCACCAGAAAAAATTATTTTTTTTAATGAAAAGATAGTATTCGAACCCCTGCCACTCCGCTTAAAGCAAAAACGACCTCACCAACTAAGCCGGTGATGCATTATGCATGTAAATCTAAAAATTTAGGTGTTATATATGTAAATACATAAGAATTTATTTTGATCCCCTATTCGAGCCAAAGAGGGATCGAAATAAATTCAGTCCTTTAAATTGGCTTGTAGCTCAGCTCGAATGGTTCTATCCGATTTCAATTCGAGCTAAATTTGATCAGATTTTTTAGCAATTCACAATCTTCGAGCCAATTTCACAGCTCTAGATATGATGAGAACTTTGTCATCTCCAACAAAGTCTTATGAATATTGAAGAGAAAATCAAGTGGATCGAAGGGACAAACAAGAAAATCTGAAGATGAAGTAGGAAACATGTCATTTCCTACTGACGTACTACCGCAAAAAATTGCAGGCCTTAGCTTTCGAAGAGGAGAGACTATATCATCGAGCAACCTCCGTGCTACTATTCAACAAAACCAATCTGCAAGTCTGTCACAGCAAAAAAATGTTGCAAGTGTCACAAATTTGGACATTTGGAAGTAGAATGCACAACTAGGGGTGTGATTTATTTCATGGAGTAGGGCGTTTTTGAAACCTAGGGTAAGGGCACTGCAGACATTGAAGAGCAGTTCAAACAAAATTTTTATCAAATGACGTCTTCCCCTAGGGAACTTCCTTATTCGTGGATAAAACTGTTGTTTTTCCTCCATGTGATCAAAAGGAACATGCAACATTTGATGAGATTATAATGCCTGCTATTCTAGAAGATGACGAACTTATTGTTGAGACATAAGAAGGTCACACAGATCAGAAGATGTCAGAATTCAAAATTTCAGGGAATGGTCTTAGTAACGATCAATTGATAATGTCACAAGTGATTACACTTCCAACCCTCACTCCCAATGTTCATCAAAACTTCAATAGTCAGAGAGGAAACCCAGAAGATGGTAAGAATCACGCATCAACCAAGCTCTTGCAAACCCTTATGCCCGCTGAGGCCCAACATGTCATAGATGAGAAGCATATGAGATATTTACATACTCAAAATTTGGCTTGAAAGAACCTATGTCGATCTGTACCTTCAGATCATATTACACCAAAGCAGAACAAGACAATAGGGAGGTATGCTCGCAGGTGGAAAATGCTCCTCAGATGCTTTGGGAGCCAAGACGGTCTTCAGTGGGATCCAGGAATGACCATATAGAACTAGAAGCTTTGACCAATAAAGTCGAAGATCTTAAAATTGTGGGAGACTGACTCGGGACTTGGGGGAGGACCGGCCGGTACTCAAGGGAGGGAGGGCTACCACCCACTCCTTCCCCATCTTCCTTTTTTCCTCCCCTTTTCCGTACTTTTCTTCCTCTTTCCTTCCTCATCTGTCCTTTCTCTCCCCCTCACCTTTCCTTTCTAAGTACTTTCTTATTTTAAATCCTTCCCTCAAACTTGAAATTCTAATTTTATTCTTCTTCCTTATTTTTTACCCTCTCTTAAAATTTTAATTATCTTTTTATTCTATTTGTTTATTTTAAAAGCCTTTGATAAAATCTGAAATCTCTTTTTGTCCTTATTTTAAAAGTCTTCCCAAAAAAACTGAAATCATTTTTATTCCCTTTTCTTATTTTGAAAATCTTTTCCAAAATCTAAAATCCTTCCTAAAGTAGGTCAAGCTTCTTTGTAAATAGGAGGTGATGTGCTTAGAGTTAGGGTTCGTGTTTTTGATTTCTAAATTTAGGTTTTAGCATTGATATTTTCTCTTCGAGGGTTGTATCTGACGTCTAGGTAGGGCTTCATGGCTCAAGGTGCTGCTCCGGCTGTAGCTCGAGCCTAATAAGATACTTATCTATCTTTCTACCCTTTTTGTTGTTGTGCTCTCGCTTCCAAGCCTTACAACAGGCCACCTCACGTCTTCCCCAACAACCATCGCTGCTGTCCTCCCTCCAACTTGCTGCTAGCCTTCTCTGGCAAGGCTACAGCTCCCCATACTCCATCCCAACACTTAGTGACCCTTCCTGAACAACCCAATCTTGTTGTCCACCTGGCCATAATTCCTCCCAGTACTCGGTCAACCCACTTTTAGCAATCGGCCTTGCTGTCAAGGCCTTTCCCATTGCTGCTAGAAAGTCCCCGCTCGCTGTCCATCCTCTGAAAGTGTTGACGAGTTTTCCTCGCTGCTGCTCCATCTTCCCAGCTTGCTACCCCACCTTCCAACCTATCTCTGATCCGCCAAAAAAACTTTTCCTCCACTTTAACCTGCTGCCTCCCTCCTTCATTTCACCTTCCAGCTCCTACCGGCCCTTCCCCCGCATTCACACTTGCTGTTCCAAGCCTTTGAGTTCACTGAGCAAACTTTCATCGCCCTTGGGATATACTATCGAGGTGTTGGCTTGTGTCTTTGTGTTTGTTTGTCGTTTATTTCTTATTTTGAAGAGGCGTTATAACTGATTTCAAATTCAATAATA